TGCAGAACCCAACCCATCCCGAGTCCAACCTAAGGGTGGGATCGCTGGACCACAGCCCCCAGTGGCACCTGCATCCTAACTGCCAGGACCTGTGAATGTGTTCTTCTCATAGCCACCAAGTCAAGGGTTAAGATCCCCTTACCGGTCATCTTTTAAAAAAAAAAAAAAAAAATAAGAGGGAGGCAGGAGAGTCAGAGTCAGAGAAGGAGGCCACAAGACGAGAGAAATTTGAAGACAGATGCTGCTGGCTCCGAAGATGGAGGAAGCGTGAAGATGGAGGAAGCCGCACGAGCCAGCAAATGCAGACGGCCTCTAGAAGCTGGAAAAGGCAAGGAACGGGCTCTCCCCTGGAGCCTCCAGAAGGCCCAGCCCTGCAGACACCTTGAGTTTAACCCAGTGAGACTGACTTTGGATATCTGACCTCCAGAACTGTAAGATCATAAATCGATGTTGCTTTAAGCCATGAAGTGTGTGGTAATTTGTTACAGCAGTGATAGGAAACTGATACAGGTAAGTTGAAAAGAAATCCTCACACACCATAGCTGTAAGGAGTCCACCACTGCCAGCCAAAGCTCACGGAGCACTTCCTACATGCATGAGCCAGGCACTGCTGTCAGCACTGTGCGTGAATTAACTACTCAATGCTTGCAGCCTTGAGGGTGGTCGCTGTCATGATTCCCACGTGACATGAGGAGAGAGAGACACAGAGAGGCCAAGTCACCAGCCCAAGACTGCCCAGCTCATGAGCCATGGGGCCAGGTCCACCCGGGCTACCTGGCTCCAGAGCCCATCCTCTGAACCACTACAGCACACCATCTCCGTCCAGCTTGATAAAACTCCCAAAACTGTGGGAAAGTACCCAATTCCGCATCAGAGATCCTCCCTCTGGAAATTTACAAGACCTCTGTGATTGACCTATTTTTAGTAAAGATCTCTACTAAAAATAATTAATGTGGAAGAAGTGAGGACATGAAATGATTCTGAGGACCAACTGCAAACCTAGAAATACCCAGCACAACTCCACCCAACCTTTTCCCCCGGAACCACCCTACTCTCTCCAGGGACACAGTGGGGTCCCTGCTCCTCACGGGCACAGTTCCAACTGTTCTCCACACAAAGGCTTTCTGGAGCACAAGCCGTCTTTGAGCACACCTTCAGAACAAGCCAAGTGAATAAACACCCCCCTGAGCCCCTCTTCCAGCTGCTTTCCATTCTGGATTCTGCCCCTCAAGACATTTCTCCCACCAGGACAGTCTTTCAAAGTACATTTCCCTTTATTCTACCCCAAACATCTTCCCCCCAGATCCTCACTCTGAAGCACTATTTTTTTTTTTTTTTTGTCTTTTTCGTGACCGGTAAGGGGATCGCAACCCTTGTTGTGGTGTCACCCACACCGCGCTCAGCCAGTGTGCGCACTGGTCATTCCTATATAGGATCCGAACCCGCGGCAGGAGCATCACTGCGCTCCCAAGCGCCGCACTCTACCGAGTGCACCACAGGCTCGGCCCTGAAGCACTATTTTTGATGCCCTCTGTCACTGAGGCACTCTGGCCTAAATAGCCCCAGCTCTTGGGCTGCCCACTCCTTTCGTGAGATTCCACTTGACAGCCTTTCTTGCACATCTTTTTGTGATCCTCAGAAAACAACTGGAGTTCCAAGTTCAATCTTAACTTCTACACACACACACACACACACACAGTGAAGTAGAGAAGTTTGTTGTTTTTTTTTTCCAAGGCTGGCCAGTAAGGGGATCCAAACCCTTGACCCTGGTGTTAGGGATTGTTTCAAATGGCAACAGAAATCAGAAGAAAGTAATCTTCTTCAAACGGAAGGCAGAGCCAGGATGCCCTTGTGGACATGGACCTGTTTGTTCAAAGTTCCCAGTGTGACACCGCGCTCAGCCAGTGTGCGCACTGGTCATTCCTATATAGGATCCGAACCCGCGGCAGGAGCATCACTGCGCTCCCAAGCGCCGCACTCTACCGAGTGCACCACAGGCTCGGCCCTGAAGCACTATTTTTGATGCCCTCTGTCACTGAGGCACTCTGGCCTAAATACCCCCAGCTCTTGGGCTGCCCACTCCTTTCGTGAGATTCCACTTGATAGCCTTTCTTGCACATCTTTTTCTGATCCTCAGAAAACAACTGGAGTTCCAAGTTCAATCTTAACTTCTACACACACACACACACACACACAGTGAAGTAGAGAAGTTTGTTGTTTTTTTTTTTCCACGGCTGGCCAGTAAGGGGATCCAAACCCTTGACCTTGGTGTTAGGGATTGTTTCAAATGGCAACAGAAATCAGAAGAAAGTAATCTTCTTCAAACAGAAGGCAGAGCCAAGATGCCCTTGTGGACATGGACCTGTTTGCTCAAAGTTCCCAGTGTGCCAGGTCCTGTCCGCTGACGTTGTCCACAGGCCTTGTGTGACTCACGTCAGACAGCAGATGAGCAAATGAACAGATGAGCGCATAATGCTGCCAGGGGGTGGCAACTGGTAAGAAAAACTGACGAAGCCATGATGAGGGACTCGAGGGTGATGGGAATGCTATTTAGACGGGGTGGTCACAAGAGTTTTCATCTGAAGAAAGGGTGAAAAAGAAAGGGTGAAAAAGAAAACATGCAGAGTTTTCATCTGAAGAAAGGGTGAGATCACCCACCCTCAGTCCAGTCCACCCACCCCTCAGCAGTCCAGGCGGAGGGGACAGTGAGGCCGGAGCAGCAAGTGGGGGGTGTGGGAAATGAGGTAGGGAGAGGGGCCAGGTGACAGGCAGCCCTCCCCCAGCTGGGATGGCCTATGCCAGTCACATCACCAGGCAACACTGTCTCCACAGTGCACAGCATGGTTTACTGAATCTCCCTGTGTCCTCTGTCGTGCCTACAGTTTGAGAACTAACAAGCCCAGGCCAGGCTGTGAGCTACGGACCCAGAACCCACCTGGCCCAGCCCAGAGCAGCTCCCATAGGTTCCACCATCAAACCTGCCTGACTCTTCTGGGGAAATTCAACTCAACCAGCACCGACTGAGCACTGGAAACGCACCAGGCACTGTGCCAGTTCTGATGCCATGAAGATGACTTCACAAGACCCCTGTACTCAGGGAGCACAGGGTCTAGCAGATGACACATCTAAATTAGTACATGCTAGGGCCTGCCCGTGGCTCACTTGGGAGAGTGTGGTGCTGATGATGCCAAGGCCACGGGTTCGGATCCCTATATAGGGATGGCCGGTTAGCTCAATTCAGAGAGTGCGGTGCTGACAACACCAAGTCAAGTGTTAAGATCCCCTTACTGGTCATCTTTTTAAATAAATAAATAAATAAGTACACACTGATAACATGGGTAGGGGCTACAGCCAGGATGTGTGCAAAGGAAGCATAACCCGGTCCCCCAGAGAGCCCGGGACTTCAGCTGGACCTTGACAGATGGCATAAAGGGGTGGTGGGTGAGGGGCAGAGGGAGGCATCTCAAGCCAAGGGGGCTTACTTGTGTGAGACCGTGGTGGGGGGCAGCTGCTTGTGATCTCCAGCCAGGACACACTTCCGTGCCTTCAGCAGGGGGATCCAGCAGCTCGCCTCGAGGGCCTGCGCACACTCATCGATGACCACCACATCAAAGTAGCTCTCAGGCAGCAACTTCAGGGGCCGTCAGGAGAAGCACCTGGGTGAGACAGGGAGCCACAAGTCTTTACAGAGGTGTTAGCTGGTTCGTCACCCTGAGAGAGACATGCAAGAAGCCAGCAGATTCAAAATCTATCTTGCATTAAAATTGTGTGGAATAAATGTGCATCTGGAAATAAAAACTTTAAAAGGACATTAAAAAAACCCATGGTTCCAGCCCACTTGTGTTTAAGTATAAAGCAGTGTGTCCTCTGGCCACGGGCCACTCCAACGTTCAATCACCAAAATTAATCACCTCTTTGGGGCTGTGACCCAAGCCCATGGAATGCTGTCTTATTTTTAAATATTATATCTGTACCATTTTCTGAATTTAGAATTTAATTAATTCTCCTCTCAGGATTTTTCTTGAACACAGAACAACGAATTGCTAAACATTCACCCAGAAAAAAACCTCCAGGTATCCGACAACACAAAACCACCATGCCGGTCTCTCCGTCCTGGAGCACAGAGCAACAGCGGGGAGGAGTTCAGGCTGTGAGCACGACCAGGGCCCACGCCAACGCCAGCAAACAGTGCAGGGCCACGGCAAGCCACCTACCCCGAGCCTGCTACTTCATCTACAAATGTGGACAACATCTAAGTCTCATACAACTGTTATGACAACTGAATGACAATATATGCAAAGCACCTGACACAAGAAGGTACGTTTTAATAAATGTTGTCAATGTCAGTTCCTGACCCTTTCCTCTTGAATTATGTTGAAGATGCATATATTATGTTATGACAAAGATATATCTTGAGAAATGTCCCGAGATTGACTTTTCGGAGGCTGTTGAGCAAAGCACCCATGGTGGAGACAGAACTTGGACTGGACTTTGCATAATTAACAGACTCACTTAGGTCATGATGTGACTTCATGGTGCAGAGAGAAACCAGACTTCTTGATGGAGAATCACTCCCAGGAATTCATTCTAGTTCCCCAACCAACCAGGAGAGACCTGAAAGGCCACAAGTGGGCACTGCAAGGGGGGGAGGGGGGGCTGCCTTCTGATTTCCAGCAGGTGCTCATGTGAAGCCATCAAGAAGGATGTCAGCAAAGACAGTAGTGTGATGCCCTCTTGAAGCTCTCCTCCACTAAAGCAACAGAACACTGGCCAAATGGTTGGACCCAACTTGTTCAGAACTCTGGAAATTCACTAAATACTTGCAGCAATCTGGGGAGAGTTTATTCAAGAAAAACAGCTGAATTTCTTTAAGAACAGTGAGATTTATGGCATTTTAACTCACGCTGTTCCCACCCCCATTTTATGGCAGCCTTGAAACCAATAGCCTAAAGTCAAGGTGAAAACCGGCCCCCTGGCAGCCCCTGAGAGGGTAGAATAGGCTGGTGTTCCTGAAGAGCCCCATTCCTAGAAACCATCATTATCAGATTCCTGGGAGACCCCACTCCCAACACTGCCTTTATCTGCCCTGACTCAGAGCTTGCCCACTGCAAACAGCCTTTTCCCTGGTGACTGTCCAAGGCTATGGAGTATACTATAAAGCAAATATATTTCACAGGGCCTAGTTTCTTGCAGTTTCAGGTTTAGCTTAACTTCTTAAAAGTACATACAAAATGTTGATCTTGCAAAAGACAGAAAATTTTCCCCAGGCTATAGTCTCTGTTGTAAGATAAAGAACTGTAACACAGCAAGGTTGCTGGCTAAAGGATGGACAAGTTACTGATTGATATGTAAAGATACTGGGAAGCTGCTGTAGGGAGAGAGAATGTTTGCTAAGATCAAGCTTTTGTTGGTGGATCGACTTAACCTCTTGCAAATTACATTATGGAATGTCGCCTTGCTTGTTTTACTGGATGTTACCAGTCTATATTGTTAAATTATAACCCCACCTATGTTCTCTTCCTGTAACTTCCTGGTCTGGAGAATAAATGTGGGGCAAGATCCCCAGTTCAAGGT